GTGCCATCGGCTACATCTGCAACAATGAAATTAACACTGACTGTTTGGGTTCCAACTTGCACTGGAACATCAGCTTCCCCGAGGACATTGACATTTATAGGGCTTATTCCCTGCAGGTCCTGTACAGTGGATAGCTTGAGTGGGGGTCTTACATCAGGCTTGATGGTTTCATAACAGAGCCGAGGTAACACGCTCCTCCTGGCCCCACTGTCCAACAGGGCACAGACTTCCATGTCATACAACAGCAGATGAATGCACATTTCTGGCCCACTCCCCTTGACTCTGAGAACTGTGGAGGCAGGCTGGGTCTCTGTAGGCCGAGGAAGTGGTGGAGTCACACGTTCCAGGTTGAGCCTGGGTGAAGGACCGTTCCGCCTCATGTGACCAATACCTTGGCAGTTGTGACAGACAATCTCTTCCCAATTGATTTTACTCCTCTTGTTGAAACTCTGCAGACAAGATTTGAATTCTGCTTTTGAATTTTTCTGTCTCCACTCAGGGGTTTACGGCACCAAACATTCCTCGTCACTTCCACTCTGGTCTGGACGTTCACGTACTGCTGCTGCTCTAGTCCTTCGTTCCATCGGCCTTACGGCAGATTGCATAAGTTGCGTTACACTAGTGGCTGTTCGACGTGTGGTTTCATACCTGTGTGCAATATCATAGGCGCGGGCCAGGGTACGTGGTCGCTCTTCCAGCAGTCTTTGCACGATATCGGCATCTCCCATGGCATTAGTGAACACCTCGACACTAATAGAGTCCTGTTCCCTCTCAGAGCGATCTGCATAAGCAATGGAGACTTTTTCATAAATGTCGTCCCTTAGCACATGGAGTGGCTCACCTACCCTGCGGACCTTCTGCCTCTATTCCAATGGCAGCAGCGTGTTCGGATGAAGGACCGTATGCAGCCTCCACTTCCTCTACTATGCGGGCATAATCCCAACGGCTGGACCTGGGGTCCTTGTGGATCACTGCACCTGCTGCGCCTACTAGACAAAACCTCATCTGCACAGTCATTGTCCTTTCAGACCAATGGTTAGCTCTGGCACAATCCTCAAAGCGGTTTAAGAATTCTCTCCATGAAGTAGAGCCATCAAACTGACCTGGTCGCAGTGTGGGGATCCTTTCTCTGTGATCATTGCACTCCTCCCCACTGTCTGATGACAGGTCACAGAATATCTGACGTGGTTTCCTTCCACGTTGGCTGGACCTAGTAAGCTCTGGGATACAACACTCATTGACTTTGGAATACATAGTGTTACCTTCATCCTCACGAATGCTATACTGAGCTGCACAGACATCATGTTTACAAGGCTGGCGATTTATTGTGGGCGTGCCTTGAAGCATCCGTTTGGCTGTTAAATCTGTGCATATGGAGTGTGAGTAGTTCAAATTTGATGGAGTAATCTGTGTATAGCGCTGTGTATCGATTCCACTGTCATGTATATGGTCATTTTCCACCCCACTAATAAATGGATTGGTTGCTCTTGCTGTTTGCTGTGTTATTTGTGGCTCATAGCAACATGTGGGCCTGCTTACTGAAACGAATGCTGGACACGGGCCAGGACTGCATTTAAATGGATTGTTGTTATTATCAGTCTTTGACACTTGATCATCCATTTCTTTTAGCCAGTCAACAAATGATATATGTGTTCGTTTTTCATCATTCTCTGTCCTTTCCAACATCACAGGATTCCACAGGCTGCTCGTATTTAAATGAGAACGTTTTCTCACCACTCGCGTTCTCTCCCGAGTATCCGCCATTTCCACTTTTTCTTACGTCTGGTTCGGTTAAACAGTTTAAAATGTCTGTATGTCTCACCACCTGCGACAAACGAATCCCGGACGAGCCCCCAATGTTACTTTTTCCACTTCAGCGATTTCCAGCGGCAGCGTAACAACTCGTCAATTCATGTTCGTGCCAGGGAAGAGACGGACACAATTACCGATGCATGCCATTTTTTACTCGTTCTCATGTTGTCAAGTTCAGAGTGGCAAACAGCTCCCGGGTGGACTGATTTTACTTAACTTGTAAGCGGAATACAAACTTTCTCCCTCCGTTCTCAACTGCACAGCACACAGTGAGGGCACGTCTCTCCAGCACATTTCACGCTGAACTACATTATACATAATGCATCTCACTCTGGACTACAACTCCCGTACATAGCTGTCTTAAAGCGGCAACTCCTTTTTCCTCTCTCCTGCGACACACTGATTAACAGCTGTAGTGTCAGGTGTTCTGTTAATTACTGTGGGTGTGGGAAGACAATTTTACTAACCAGGAACGTTGAATGAAAATGTTCTGGAAAATGATTTTGTGCCTCTCTGTGATGGTACCACGAGGCGTCGCTTACTTACAGATCTCAGGCTTCTGGAGGGGATGTCGATTTGTAATAGTGAGTGGAAGTAGGAGGGTGCTGAGCCTGTGGCTGTTCTGTACGCAAGCATCAATGTCTTGAAGTTGATGCAAACCGCAACTGGTAGCCAGTGCAGGGAGATAAAGAGAGGTGTGATGTGGGCCTTTATGGGCTCGGTGAAGTCCAGTCGTGCTGCTGCGTTCTGAATCTTTTGTAGAGGTTTGATTGCGCATGATGGAAGTTTAGCCAGAAGAACATTGCAGCCTAGAAATGACAAGGGCCTGGAAAAGAAGTTGTGCAGCATGCTCTATTTAGAAGGGCCTGATTCTACTGATGTTGTGCAATGCAATCCTGCATGATCGTGCTGTCTTTACATGTGGTCCTTGAAGGTCATCTGACCATCAAATAATATTTTTTGATTAACCTAGCTGGATGGTGAAATCATGCTGTACAGTCAGAGTGGCAGGGAAGATGAGAAGCTCAGTCTTTGCCAGGTTGAGCTGCAGGTGATGTTCCTTCATCCATGCCAAGATGTTCTCCAGGCAGCCTGAGATTGATGCAGCTGCTGTTGGATTGCCTAGTTGAAATGAAAGATAGAGCTGCATGTCATCAGCATAGCAATGGTAGGAGAAACCATGTGCTTGTATGTGTCCCAGTGATGTAGTGTATATGGGGAAGAGGAGGGTTTGGATACCTCTCCTCCCCAGGAAACCCTGAAAGACATACCTGTGAGATAAGATTCAAACCAGTGGAGTGCAGATCCTGTGATGGCAGACAGGATAATCTGATGATCTACAGTGTCAAAAGTGGCAAATAGATCCAGCAGAATGAGAACTGATGATTTGGAATCAGCTTTCGATTTCTGCAGGGCTATAGTGACCGACAGTAAAGCAGTCTCAATTGAATGGCCGCTTCTAAAAGCCGATTGGCTAATGTTCAGTTGGATATTCTGTGAAAGAAATAATGTAAATGTGTATAAGGTGTGAACCAAATGGTCCATTCCATTAGATTAACAAAAGAACAACATTCCTCAGGAACGTCTTGTAGATTGCAGGATCTCCAGCGGGAGGTTCTAACAGTATCTGTTGATTGTAGCCCTTTTGTCTTCAGGTATAAAATTATATCCCACAGACAGAACTTTGGGAGAAGCTAAGATTCTTACAAGGGTTAAGATTGTGTGAAGAATAACATGATAACATTGCTACCGAAGAACTGCTACACCATCTTCAATAAATTCATCTCCCCACAAAAATTTTGGTCAAGCCTACTTAATTTTTTATATTAGAGAAATCTAGTACACTGGTGAGCCAATGTTAGAAGGGGTAGTATGCACTGACCTGTCTAGACAGATATTATCTTCAAAAGAAGTTAAAATGGATCATAAAGTTTCAGGTTTTGCCTAAAAGTAACTGGTAGAGGAATCTGTGTACAGGTACTGTGTACTTACAGGTAGTAAGATGTAGGTTAAATGTAATGAATAAATGATCAGAGATGTCTAAAGGTTTTCCCAAAATGTTGTCTGTGATACAATTTCGTGTGTGAGTGAGTGGAAGTCTGCAGTGTAAGGCTTCTCCAGATGGATGTTGAAGTCACCAAAGACTACACGTGGACTGCTGTCCCCAAAGAATGAGGACAGCAACACATCCAGCTCCTCTATAAAGGTGCCCAATTGACCAGGAAGGTGATAAATAGAGAAGTTGTTCGAGAGAACAGAAGGGGTTGCTGAGTCTTCCGAACTAATCGAGGTCTCAGTAAAGCCCAAGATACGAAGAGTAGACTTAGAAGCAATGGCCAGAATTAAGTCTGTTTGTTGACAGCTGACTGACAATTCCAGAGACCCACAGAAAAAGAGAGAGTTGCAGTAGAAGAGGTACACATAGAATACAGGTTAGCAAGATTGCATTGCCTTCTGTATTTGATCATAAAGTGTTGTTGAGAGATAACAAGAATGTATTCAAAACATGCTACTGCCTACCTGACACTGCCTGAGAGGTAAGGAAAAATATACTTACCTGAGATTATTTTTTATATATACTCTATCTCTGAAATACATGATTGTATTATTGAAAACAGTATTTTATTGTTTTAGTGAATAAAGTAATTGTTCATTATCAAAGGAAGAAAATAATAATAACCATAATATGGACCACTGTAAATGCTGTGATTCTCAGATACTGTGATTTCGTTCTCGCATTGCTGATTTCACCATTCACATCAAAACATAGGGTTAGACATCACCTTTTCTGTGTTATCGTGTTTGGTTCAGAAGATATGACACAAAGTACATAATTTGGTTATGGCGGAAAGTAAAATGGTTGCCGTGACCACCACGAGGTGTTTTTGCGATGGCTCCATTTCTGAAAATGTTTAGGGCCACAAACTATACAAGTGTACCAAGTTTTCATGCATAAAAAAGTGAACATTTCACCTCAAATTTTGCACATATCTCCTGGACTACTTGTGGCAATGCTGAGAATTCAAGGTTCTTGTAATGCAGCTGCTGAATGAAACTGCACATTAAAAAAAATGCATTATTGCAAAAAATCAAGCTTGTGTGGTTAGAAGTGCTTGCATTCATGTACCTTTTCAGTCCTTCTAAATGTAGCTTTTGTTTCTTAATTGTGATATGGCTGTCTATTTTAGGGATTGTTACTATGATAACTCGACCACATGTCCGCACTGTGCAAGAATGCTGGAACGGCAACATGAGGAGTCTCAGAACCCATAGATGAGCCTGACAGATGGATGCATCACAAAGATCTTCAGAGTCAGAACTTGTCTTATATTCAGTTTATTTGTTCTTGATGTTTTAACCATGCTTCTGTCAGCTTCTGAACTGACATTGATGAAGTGTGATCAGCATAGCAGGAAAACCTCACATTTTGAAAACCATATTCCCATAAATATAGAACTTCTGGTTACTGTTACATGTCTTCAGTCCAAAGATAAATAATCTGTGTCAAACTTTAACAATGGCATGTTCCTCTTAAGAATGTGACTGAGATCTATTTGATTTCTTCCTACATGTAATCCTGGGTAGCATGCTTTTTAAGGGACCAGGAAAAAATAATACAAGGCTACACTATGTTTTGCTTTATAGTTATATCCCCGTAATACACTGTGGTTTAATGTAGTAGATAATATGCTGATAATTTATTATATGATAATTAATGTTCTAGAACAAATGCTGTGGAACGATGTCTGGTTTAAGATGATCTCAGAATGGAGTCTTCTGTAATGCAATTACCTGGTGTAAAATTGTATCCTATTAAATGACATAATGCTATTTAATTGTCTCTGTAATAACTGTGCAAGACAACATATAAAGTGTTATGAAGTCTTCCAGCCTTGCTTTTAGCATTACTCAAGTAGAGTAAGATGACCACCACATCTTAATTATTTTTTTTCTCTTCACCATAGATGGCATCAATAATGAATGGCTTTGCTTAGTTTTGTGAAACTGAACACACACACATATACAGTCAGGTCCGGAAGTTTTCAGACACTGACTGAGTTTTTGTGCTTTTGCCTTTATACACCATTACAATGGATTTGAAATAAAATAATTAAGATGTGATTGAAGCAGTGGCATTCCATCCATATAAGCTGCAAATGCTCCGCATACCCAGGCCGTCTGAGAGAATGAGTTCACTGACTAATTAATATAAACATGATTATAAGTTGATCTCTTGTCATTATGTAACTTAAAGCTTAATGAAGTGTTGGGAATAAGTACATAAAATTATTTGAAAAACAACGGTAATTTTCTGTAAATCTGTGTCAGTTATGGAAGCTTTATGCAAGCAGATTCACAGCAGCTCGGGGGCACTCAAGATGGCGACCGGTGAGGAGGTATGAATGAATGAATTATGCATTTATATAGTGCTTTATGTTGTATTGCTGTACAGCACTTTACAATTATGTGGGGGTCTCTCCTCAACCACCACCAGTGTGCAGCATCCACCTGAATGATGCGACGACAGCCACAGTAAAACGGCGCCAGTGCACTCACCACACACCAGCTACAGGTGGAGAGGAGAGAGAGTCATAGAGCCAATCAAGTTGATGGGGATTATTAAATATACATATTTATATATTTTGCTATTGCATTGTGGAGTGACACTTTCATAAACTTTTCTATACTCCTCCGATTATATAATGGTAAATATTACAATATCATTGCACAACAACAGTGATCAGCAATAATGATAAGCCGAATACTAACAATAAAAATAATAAGGTCATATAAATCATGACACAGTCTCGGAGGTAAGAAGTGGATTATCCTTCACCTGAAATGTTTGTCTTTTCATCCTGAAATGCGAGGCAAATTTTGGATCACAATAATTAGGAACCACAGCAAATCCCTTCACTCCAATTTGGATGTTCTCTTTTATTCTGGATGGCAAGGGCAGTGACTGTTACATCGAGGGTATTTTGCAGTATTAAACACGTATTTATACCGATTTGATCAGGCTCCGAAAATTCTTCAAAAAGAACACAAAGAATGGCCTTCTCAGCTGCCATAGTTGCAACTCTTGCATCATCGGAACAGACTGTTCAACGCACCACCGTTTCCGTTTAAAAAACATTTTGCACCATTTTGTCGGGTCTGAACGCAAGCATGGTCTTGCGGTTAGGACTCAGCACTCCAGCTGACGAAGGATAGTCCGACAATATTTCAGAAATGTCGAGCAATGTCGAACTGCACAGCCAATCACGTCGAAGCGCTACAACATTTGGGCCAATCGCGTCGAAGCGTTATAACATTTCCAGCCAATCAAAAAGTGTGATTCTTAACTTTTTCTTTTGACCAATCAGAGTACAGGATGTCGACGGCACATTTCTGCGTATCACCGCTAGGTGGAGGGGTCAGCACTTCTAGTCAGGTGTCAATCAAATTTCCGAACCGTGCCGAAGGTGTACGAAAGAATGACATAATCCTCAGGGGGTGTGTCGGAGGTAAAAAAAAAGTTTAGCGATGAAGTTCGTCACAAGCTCAGCATAATTTTTTACGGAGGACAGCGAAACTTCATTTTAAAACCAAATACAGCGGTATTACGACAAGCTTTTACATGTTTTTTATTTATTTTATTTTTTTTACTAGTTTGTCGTTTTTAATTATTCTTTCAAAACTGTTTCATCGAACTCAAGAAAAATTACTGGCAAACAAAAAGAAGATGTCGGACGCTGAATGGATTTTGTGTCTACAAAAAGTTTACCAGCACAGGAACGTGGCCATCAAATGAGGGTAACAGTTCCTCGACAGAAGAAGTGGTACAAGATTTATCAGTGGGTGAGTGTTTGTTACCTTTACATGATAGAGAAATAAAAAAAAGACTTAAGTGTTTGTTGATTTGCATAATCGAACATTATCATCTTTGTTTAATGTATTTGCATAACAGAGCAACACATTAGGCTTCAGTACAAACATGTACCTGATCCCATTCATTAGAACAATGTAATGTGATGGTTGTGTTATGTTATGGCTTACACCAATGTAAACCAGAGTGTTCCATAATTGTTTTATAGACATTTATGTAATGTTGCAGGTATTTTGAGATTTATGTCATACTGTAGAAGAAGTGGTACGAGATTTATCAAAGGGTGAGTGAGTGTTTGTTACTTTTGCATGATGGAGAAATAAAAAAAGACTTAAGTGTTTGTTGACTTACATAATCGAACATTATTAGTATCTTTGTTTAATGTATTTGCATAACAGAGCAACACATTAGGCTTCAGTACAAACATGTACCTGATCCCATTCATTAGAACAATGTAATGTGAGGGTTGTGTTATGTTATGGCTTACACCAATGTAAACCACAGTGTGTAATTGTTATAGACATTTATGTAATGTTGCAGGTATTTTGAGATTTATGTCATACTGTTAATGAAAAGCTACATTAAAGATTTATGTGTACTGGGAGATTCAGAGATTTGATGGTGAATGAATGGGTGGTTTGAAGGTGTGAAATGTTCCTCTCTTGTTTCTCTCTCCTTTAAAGAGAGATACCAGCTGTAACATTATATTACATTACATTACATTTACATTTAGTCATTTAGCAGATGCTTTTATCCAAAGCGATATAAGATAAATAGTGACTCATGTCCTAGAAATTAATCAATGAATGAAGTATTTTATGCTCTGTTAAGGGACTCACTTGTATTGTGCATTACATTTGTTATAATGCTTACAGATTGAGAAATGTCTGATGGCCAGTCAACCTTGCTTGGAGGTGTGCTGAAATGTATCTGTGGTTTTCACAATCCAAAGGTAACATTAATGTAGCAAGTATTTATTTTTAGTATTATTTCCTGAAATGGCTTTCTTTCTGAATTGTTATATGTATTTTTTGGGTTGTCTTAAGCAGCCCACTGCCTCTACTGGACCAGCAAAAAGGGTGGTGGAACCACCTGCTGCTGCTGGAAAAGCAAAGAAGGCCATGGAGCAGAGTCAGCCTAACCCCCAGCCCCAGCCTACTGCACCTGTGGCAACAAGAGTTATAACACAATTGTCAATGGTAAGAATTACAATTAAATTTTTTTACAAGCATTGAAGTATGAGTTCAGTTCAAATTCAAGGAAGTTCATAAAGTAAGAAGAAAAAAAGAAAAAGCAAGAAAACTATGAGATGCTGGCTGAGACCTACTTATTGTCACACCTTTTGTACAGTGGTGACAGCTGTTGTCTGCTGATTGGTCGGTTTGAATATCTCAGATTTGGTTTAAGTCACATGGTCAAGGATAAATGAAGAATGTGTGCTTTCTCTCTTTCATCTCTGGGTTCAACTCTTGGATAGTCCTCTTCCTCTCTAACTGAGCTCTGCCTGGGTTGAAGGTCACTGAGCTAGACTCATGTCCCTCATGGCATCTCTCTCTATACTTCTCATGTGTTAAAGCTACATTTTCTCTTTTTCATTCTCTATCTCAGGTAACATTACACATACACGCTGGCTATTAATCTAGCGTAGCGTTAGTTCTGGCAGGTCACGTTAGTCAAGCTTGCATCAGCTGACTCTTAGGCTCAGCTGATCCCCATCAACCTATGGGAATACGACACCTATCTAAGCATTCATATATAAGGTCCCTCAGTATTATCAGCAGTTTTCGCATTGCTCAATAGCTAATTAAATGGCGATATCGGCAGACAAAACACCATTAGCAGGAATCGGGAATTTAGAGAAGTGGAATTCGCTTCCCCAATGGTCTCACCTCCGATTCATTCAAGTTCGTTAACCGGAACACGTGAATTCACCGCATTGATTATAAGCTGCCTGATTCGGAAGTGACTGAGTTAACATTATTTCACGCATCGCTACATTATTGTCATGGACTCCACAAGTTATGTGACTGACTCAAGAAGAAGTTCAGATGGGAACTTCATCCCCAAAAAGGATATCAAGAGATCAAGCATCCACTTCACAGCTGCTATGTTTCACTCTCTCGAACGTCTTCACAAGCTAAGTTCCATTTAATGCTCTCAGGTTATCTGCAGCATGCGTGTTGCTAAGGCTATCCTTGTTGCTTGGGCTCATTAAGTTGTTTTCAGTTAAATGCTTGTGCTAGTTCATACGAATGTGCGGTACTTATCTGTTGTCACTGGCAACACGCTTGTCGCTGCAATATGCTGCGCTTAACAGGGGGTCTAATGTAATTTCATGCATTGAGTTATTTACACTGTTAAGAGTTGGACTCTTATGCGTGTGCGCGCACTCAGTGACTCAAGCGAGAGCAAGAGTGCGCCGCTTAACGTGTTTCTTTCGGCAGTACTGCAGTTACTTGCTCGAGAAGACTAGGTTGTTTGAGAGGAACTACACTAGCCTGCCTCCGGCTGGAGAGAGCAGCCGCTTGCAGTCGGGGCGGAATTAAAGCGTGTTAATATTCGTGGCATAGGCATGGGGTGTATCATCATGCCCAAGCCACGTTTCATTACCTGTACTTATAAAAGTGTGCGTACAAGTAAACAAACTTATCAGAATGACCAGGTATATCGTTTGTCTCATACCCATCGCCACACAACTATCAGGAATTATGATTTTAGACTCGGTGTACCATTATCGCTTTCTATAACCGTTGGTATACCAAAACGGAATCTCCTTAGCAAGTACCTTCACTACAGTCTGTGCATTTTCTCTTCCACACGGGAAAGCCTCAGGCCATTTGGAGAAACGGTCCACTATCACACAAATATTTGTGATTTCCACAAGGAGGCATGTGTGTAAAGTGAGAGAGAAACGGATAGAGGAGGGAGAGTGAGAGGGAGAGGGAAAGAAAGG